CTTAGTGGAGTTGCTCCAACATTGGTATTTACATCAGCTTAAAGCTGAGAAACATTTTGGTAAAGACGCTAGCAGAGGGATATGGAATTCAGTTATGAGAAACACTCATCTGTGTTTGGGCTTTTTGTGTTCTTGGGTGAAAAATTCCTTCGCTTCTGTCTCCAAAAACGAGAGATTTTATGAGACTGGAAAATCGTGCATTTAGATCTGAGATGCGTTTCTGTAATACATTAAAATAAGAGATAATTTAAAAGAAGCCCCAAATCAGTATAATCTCTGGTAGCCTGACTGTATTCTAAAACGTAATGATGCAAATTCTAGAGGTCTATTTATGTTTGTTTATTGAGATAAGGAGAGCTATATCACATTACAGGATCCCGTTAAAAATATGGCTCTAAAGGATGTGGATTTTCAGGTCTAATCCATGAAAAAGAGTGACTTGTATCCTGCAGATGTGGTTACAAAGTGGGTTGTGGAAATGGCAGAGTGGCAAATGGCGAAGTCAATGCAAATGATTTTTGTTCTATTTCCCCAGTCCTTCAAGAAACACTGCTTACCAGATGCGCTGCCTCTTGGGCACAGGCTTCCTTGGGATTATGTCATGGAGGAAGAGCATGCAAAAATATATCTATTTTTCATAATCTTTGGGTCTTCAGGAATGGAATTTTGCAGTGTCCCAGCAGGAGCCCTGAACTGGCTCTTTTTTCCTCTCACACTGTGCGTGAAAAATAACTCCTTGTGGGAAGCTCCACATACATCTGGATGTGTTTGTTGGACTTGGACAGCGTGATAGTCCCAGAGTGTGCTGGGGATTTCCTTAAGTGGGCACAGTGCGGGCAGGGAAATGGTCACTTCCACGTTTTTGAAGTGTTTTGGTAGGAGCCAGCCACAGCAGGAGAGGCAACAGGAGCTCCGCTCGCAGCAGCGTTCCCCTCTGAGACCCGCTCCCAGTAGGAGATACTGTCACAAGAGGTGTCACCTCCTGCTGAGGCCACTGGAACCAGTCAGATGCTATCCAGAAGCACAGCCCCGCATGTATCGCTGTAGGTATTAACATTCATTTCAACTGAAGCTTCAAAGCAGTCGGTGCCCTTATTTTGTGCAGGGAAACTGAGGTACACAATGCACAGAGCATTGATGTGGGCCATGAATTCTTCATAGTGAACTGGTCAAGTTTATGCACGGGATAAATTATTCACCTGATTATGAATGAGGAAACTGTGTGAGCCTCGGTATTAGACATGGGATTAGCAGTCCCATTCCATCTGACGGAAACACTAGCTGCAAGTTTATTGTCTCTGAAACAACAGCCAACATGGACTTTGGGAAAACTTAAACTGTGGGATGTTCTGGGAAGCCAAAAGGTTTCAGCTCCTGTCAATAATTACATAGACTGCAAAATAATCAGTCTAATAGTCACAGCCAAGCAGGAGAGGAGGAGCATTTCTTGTAAGAAGTGCTAATAAGAACAATACCGTAGGGTCAGAAAGCTTGTCTTTGAGCGGTCGAGCTGGGTGACAGCTGAATTGCTTTATTATTTAGTGCCATAAATATAAAGTTCAATTTTGAAGGAAGCTTGCTTAGAGGCAGCGTGAGAATGTTATTTTTAGAATGCTACCAGGAAGCAAATTCAAATTTGGAGTTGGGAATTTTCTTACTAGTAGTGAAACAACACGCAGCTGCTGAGCGTGGTGTCCCGTGGTTAGAGACTTGAGAAACAAATCAGCTGAGTCATGGACTCAGAGTCAGGGACTGAGAGTTTTTAAGGACAAAAATTTCCTGAATAAATAACCCACATTGAATGAGATGTAACACTTTGAAACATGTCCTGGTTTCATAGCAATCCTCATTGCCAGCTGTGCAAGGTCTGGTTGAGAGCTTGGGGATTGCAATCTGTAGATACCAGCCTTTAATGCTCCCTAATTGATGGCATCCACAATTGTCTGCAGAGAAGTGAATGCAGGGTAGAATTTTAGAGTGGAAAAGGTCCATAGGAGTGAAAGCTTTCGGACCACCCACTTGGATTGAAATGAAGAATCTGCACTGTCTGATAATCAGGACCTGTGATGGGAGAGACAGGACCGGCGATTTCTAGTGGGCACTTGAGACAACCACCTATTGATGACCAGAGCCGCCCTCCCTCACTCCCCAGCTGCACAAACAGAGTACTTTTGCAGAGAAAGATTACCAAATCATGCTGTCAACCTTTTCTTTCTGGACTGTATACTTAATAATAATCAAAACCAAATGTAAATAAAGTCTTGCTGGTGAGAGAAGCATGCTGCCCAAATTTGCTTCCTATTTATACCAATTAAATATGGATAAAATCCAGGTCATTGTTTTCTGTAATCTGCTGGGAAAGCTTCTTCTGACAGGGGCTTGTTTTTAATATCAGGGCTCTGCTTTATGTCAGCTTCTCCAGATGAAATCAGCATTATCACCCAACGCTGATGTGATTGCTTTTGTAAGTTGCAAGTGGTGCATAGCAGAGGAATCCAGGAAAAAACAAGCACAGGAATAAAAAAGAGATTTTTTTCAAGTGGAGAAATGTAAGTCAGTTTTCTCTATGGCTGATGTTTTGACTTCCATCTGTTCTAGCTTATATACTGCTCCTCTATGGAAAATAGTGATTTAGAACTTGGAAGGGGCAAAGGATTTGTTGTAAATTGTAAATTTCCAAGATTTTCTGCTGCTTCCTATTGAAGTCGGAAAGGAAATATCCATGGAAGTAGGGCTGCCCAGTAATCAGCAACTAACTTGACTTTGTGTTGGATTTGCATTTGGTGAGAGTCTCTGTGCATGTGTTCTGGTAGTCCAGTGTACTGATTTGTTGGTGATGTACTCAAAAGCCAACAGTTGCTACTGAAATTAGACTTAAAGTTGAAGTGTGTTCAGAAGGCAGATGCAGGGTCCATGAGATCAGAGTAGGGAATGCTTTGATTCCTTGAAAGCTTATCTGGCTGCTGGCTCGTGGTGCCAATGTCAATTGATAGCTCTCCCCGTGCTCTTTCCAGTGAGTGTGTATTTGGGTTATGCAGTCTGTTGGAATAAGAGGCTTTAATTCGCTCTGCACTTCCTGGTGTTTCACTGTGTAGAAGCAGAGAATAAATGGACAAGGTGGCTGGACTTGATTTTATACTTCAGCTGGGGCTGAAGAGATTGAGTTGAATTTGGCTGAGGCTGTGATTAGCATCCAGGTTTCTAGATCTAGTGAAATATTTTGAACTCTAGGCTGCACTATATAAAGACTTGAAAAACAAGAGAAGAAGGCATTTAGTTTTAAAAGACAGAACTCTGACTGTCTGAAGCCCATTAATTTGCTGAAAAGTGCTGTTTTCTCAGCTTTGGAAGCTGGATGTCTTTTCCCTTCTCTTTTTATTTTTCTTCCCTGTTTTTGTTATGGATGACAGCAACTTTGAAAGAAAAATTGGTTGTGGTTGTGTTTTAAAGCCAGGGTTGAACATTCAGGGACTCTGTGAAATGGATTACTTGACCATGACCCTCAAAGGTCAAAGTTGCCATTCCCAATAAGAAAGAATCACGACAGTCTTGACCTCCTCAGTAACCATGCCACAAACAGCTGTATTGATTTCTACACTGTCTGCTTGAAATACTCCCTCTAAGCTTTTAGGATCAGCTTAGGAAGAGAAAAATTTGGCCAAACTCTGTGTTTCTTTATACATTGGGCATATGCAGGCATTATTGTCTGCTCCTTAGAGTTTAAAGGCAAAGCAAGGAGATTGTTCAAATGTGGATGTGGGATTTCTGGAGATACTTGATTTTCACCCAGTCATCTGTGCTACCAAAAGAAGCACATTAACAGCCAATTTCCAGTTTATTAATTAATTTCCAGGAGACTGTAGAGGGTTTTTTATTTCACTACTGAGCAGTTTGAAACAGAGGAGTAAAGGCTAGCCATGGTGGACATCACAGCCAGGTATTTAGGGTTGTTCTTGGTTTTTCAAGCCATGTTACTTTGAGAGTTAGCAAGAACCATCAGTTAACTTTCAATGTGTGCAGTTGCACAGCACA